GCGTGTATGTGTGTGGTGGGGGGGGGGGCGCATGGAGGGCGTGGGGTTTACTGTGTGCAAATCGCAGAGGGGGGTATTACAGGGTGGCTGGTTTGCGATTGGAGCAGGGGCGGGGGCCATCAGGGCTGGGTTCAGGCTTGCCTGTGGCCCAAGGTGTTGACGAGGCCACAAGAATCAGCAGGGCCAAGCCAAGCCACGACACCGTCTGCGCCCGCCGTCCGGCCGGACGCGATCTGGCTCCCGTGAGCCGGCAGGGGCGTGCGCGTGCGCATGGGGGCACCCTGCACCCTGCACCCCCCGCTCGTGAAAGCAGCTCTTGCGTGCACGTGCGTGTGTGTGCGCCACGCCTGTCGGCGAAGCGCTTGCTCGTGGGCGAGCGCAGCCCTCAACCCCTGGACGCGCGCGGCGTGCCGCTGCGACGGGGGCGGCTCACCCGCGGACGGCGTGGCAAGGATGCCCGCGCAACGTGTGCGCAGGACGACCCTGCCGCGTGGGGTGGTCACGAGCACCTTGGCGCAGTTGTTGCTGGTGCTCTCGCGTCCAATGGTGGGGCACCTGCGCCGCGAGCGGATCAGGGTTAGGGTGTTGACAGCGGCCTGCGTTGCCCGCTCCTGGTGCCGTCCAGGCCCGTGTGATTGAGCTTTAGAAACACAGATTTGTGCGAGTTGATGAGGGGGTGGCCACCTCGCGCAGGGGTGCAGCTGCGCCAGAGTTGGTATCAGAAAACCTCGCAGGCTACTGACAGCTCCCGACCCTCATATGGGCCCCAGCGGATTGAGGGTGGTGTGTCGGGGTCGCGGCGCGAGCTTCGAATCCGAGACCCTAAACCCCCATCCCTACTATTAAACCCTTTTTCCATAATTGACATCGGGTGGGGCAGGGAGAAGCTTGGACGACAACAAAAAGAATATCCCTGGCAAGGGAACCTTCCAGGTGACTGATTATGGTGTGGGGCGAAGGGGGGGGTGCTCACGTGCTGTTTCCCATCTTGAGGCGCGGCGACTGCCTGTAGAAGATGAATGGCTGGTTGGGCACCCAGTCCTGTTGAGGGGGCGAGTGGGTGGGATGACAGGGAGGTGCGGAACTTGAGGGGTCGATGAGGCCCGACAGTGAGATGAGCAGGCGTTGGAGACACAGATACGAATGCAAGGCGCAGCTTGGCACGGAGCGTCGGCAGCGCGGTTGGGACCGCGGCCGGCCGGACATGCCCGCAGGCCTGCTGGCGGGCTGTGGCGCTGCGGTCCTGGCCTCATGTGCGGCGCAGGTGGGACGGCTCCTGTAAGCGTAGCCACGACAATGACTGATGCATTATAGCGGATTCGAGGGGGGCCTCACCAGGCGGTTCCACCAATTGTAGGTGATCGTCTTGAACTTCCGGTTCCAGGCGTTCTGGTACGCCGAGTTGCCGGGCCTGACGCCGCCGTACGTGTAGACGCCCGTCACACTTCCGAGGTTGGCGTAGGAGTTGGAGAGCGTCGCGGCCGCGTAGTTCGCGAGCGCGGCGCCTCGCGAGTGGCCAACGAGCGTGATCTGGCATGCGCCCGTGCACGAGAAGTTGTTGGTGAGGATTGAAACGACCTGGTCGAAGCTCTCGAGGAAAGAAAGGTGCCAGCCGGGGTGGACGCGGACGAAGCCGGGGAGGGCAAAGAAGCGGATCTGGGGCCTGCGGCGGAGGGCGGGGGGCGGCGGCGGCAGCGGCGCTGGCGCTCAGATGGGCCTCCGCGCCGCGGCGGGGCGGCGCTGGCGGGGCCCGGGTCCCGCATCCGCAGCGGCGGCGGCGCCCGGGCGTATTGGACGCGGCGGAGCCGACTGCGGGGGCGGCGTCGTGCCCTTGTCGTGACCGCGCACGCCCAAGGCCCCGCGCGGGCGGGCTCACAAGAAGAGGCCGTTGTTCAGGGTCTGAAGGTCGGTCCACGTGCCCCGATAATTGATGAACACATTGTTGCCGGCCTTGATGAGCACTGCGGGCCAGATCCGAGGTCATCCCGTGCAATCGGCGGCCCAGGCAGCGCGCATGGCGAGTGCGCGGTCAGCGAATGGCCGCCCGGTCCGCACACGATGGTGGCAGCGCGCCGGGGCCGCCGCCTCTGGTGCATGCCGCAAAGCTGGCAGGCCGGAGCGGATGGCGCCCCAGGCGAGGCCCTTGACCCCTCAAACCTCAACCCTCCGTCGTCCGTGGCTGCTGCACGAACAGACGCATGCGGGGACCCCGCGCGCCGTGCGGCGCAGCGTCGACGGCGCACCTATGAAGGATCGCGGCGTGTCGACAAACCGGACCTGCTCCGCGCCCACCGCCTTCCATTTCGCGGTCAGGCGGCACTGGAAGTCGGCCCTGGGGTCGCCGAGGCCGGGCGGAAGCGCAGCGGGCCGGGGCGACGAGGAAGAGGTGAGAGCACATCTTGACACAGGAGTTTAGTGGCGAGCATGCGTGGGCTTGCGTGCGGCCCCCTGATGGAGACAGCAGGCTCGCTATGCCACCATGGCACCTGCAATTGACAGGTGCAGATTGCCCACAAGGCGATGCTCCACCTCGACCCTGCTGCTGCAGCGCGCGCCGCGAGGCAACACACCAGGCAACAGACGGGCACGGCAGACGCTCACCCGTCGCCGTCGGCTCCGAGGTTCGTCCTGCGGGGGTACGTATCCCTCACGAGCGTCTAGCAGAGGGCAGCACAAGGGCGGGATGGATTGGGGCAAGGGCGCAAGGCGTGAGTGCATGAGGATGCATTCCGGTCAGGTGGTGTGACGCCTCGGTTCCAAATCTTTACATGCAGCGTTGCGGGGTGCACGCCGCCGGCCTGCAGTGACTGTTGTGGCTTTCTGCCGCGCTCTGGTGACTCGAGCCTGGCACCCTGTCATAACCGCCTGGTCAAAAGCACACGCCGCCTCCGCCCTAGCTGAGAACCGCTGCGCCAGACACGTATAGATGCTGCTTGACTGATGCCGTATTGATTGGAGGTTTCCCACTTGGTCTGGTGGAACCCCGCGGCAGACCCACCGTCATGAGCCATGATCGCTGGCTGGGGTTGGCGCCGTTCCAATAGGTAGTGAGCACGTCGCTGCTGCACGGCGCTGCAA